TGAAAATATTTGGGATAATGTAAGCATCCAACTCAAAACATGTATAACATTGGCCTAGTATTTATTTTTAAAGACATTTTAATGCAAATTTTGTATATATTATTTCGTCTTAAAGATCCTTTTACTGTATGGTGAGTTCATTCTCATTCCTAAATACAAAACAGTTTTATCAGCGTGTGAGTGAATGTAACGTTGATTTAGCTGAGTGTGAATTGAGCCATCATATATTTTCTTTGCTGAGTAACCTACAGCAAGAAGTTTAGAAGTGTGTTGATATACAGATGTTTCAACAAATTATCACAGCTTTTAGCTGCTTGCTTGCCAGATGGATTTACTGGCACAGCTTTCAAGCTCAGGAGAACACTCACACACTCACTCACTCTCACACACGCACACACACACGCACACACACACACACACACACGTGTGTGACAGTCAGAACTGGCAACAAAGTCCCCTGAGGCCTTTCTTTATTATTTCATCCCAGCTCTTACATCTTCTTGCAAACACACCAAGGTTCAAAGGTCATTTACTAATACACGTTATGTTATAATGATGTAACACTCTCTTGTGCCAGTTTGGGCCAGTGTACATCTAAAACAATGGCCTGGATGTTAGATGTGGAGAAGTAATTATACTGTAGGCAGGGCACCTTTTTTCTCATGTGGCAATCTGTTGGGACTGAGTTTGAACCCAATTTATGTGACAAAGTATAGAAAATGGTACCACTTGACTGTTTTCAAGGTTTATTTATTTTTAGAGTGAGAACGATCTGTTTTTGAACTTTTGTTCCTTTTGTTCAAATAAAATAAAATAATTTTGTGAAGAAAATACTGGCAACCCCCATCTTTTTTTTTTTTTTTTTTTTTTTCAAACAATGCTCTGTGGTGTCAGATGTGAATGTTCTTCTTAATCTTTCTCTGGCCGACCACTGACTCCTGGTTGATGACCATTGACCTCTTCCAGTGGATTTTGGTCCTTGCTGTTTCACTGATGTACTGCTAGCATATTCAACAAACTAGATTTTGCTTAGCCCCACCCTTCATAGTTACTGTTGGTATGCCTGTCAAGTTGTCCATTCTAGCATGGCACATATGCCGCGTACAATAATAACAATGGCAGATTCAATTGTTCTTTGATTTCAGGCAGTGGTAGTCAACAAACTTGAAATTTGCTATCTAAAATAACAAATGTAGCTAGCTAATTATTAATATGAGAGTTGCTTGACTTGTTTTAAAACAAGAACCCAGTAAGGGTCTAAAATATACATTTTCTGGCTATATACATGATGTTTTGCTAAAAGACAGGCTAAAGCTGAATGTTCATGTAAAAACTCAACCACACCCGTTCATCTTCCATATGATCCAAACCTGCGGCCGGATGGAAGCTTCCTGAAGAGGCATGTATGATGGCTCTGCCACTATTGTACTAGCCTGCTTTCTGGCTCTCGTATTGTGCAGAACCCTCACAGGCACCTGTTCCTGGCCTGTGAGCTGCCTGGCTGTTTGCACAATGCGTTCCAGTCTGGTGTGGGCAGAGGGTGCTGGTTACCACACAGTGATGGAGGAGGTGAGGACACTCTTGCGGGTGGCTCTATAGAACTGGGTGCGAAATTTCTGGGAGATGTTAATCTTTTGGATTCCACATTGTTAACTGAACACTATGCTGAGACACAGTGTTCCTGTAGGCCAACTCATGATTGTACTTGATGAGGCCCACGTCATGGTGTCATCAGCAAACTTGACCAGCTTGAGCTTTAGTGTTGGTGGTGAGGGAAGTCTGTATTCCACTCACAGATGGGGTGGGGTACCTGCAGTTGGTGTGTAGACACGCAGGGAGGATGGTATTAAAGGCCTGACAGGTGCTGGGTGTGTACAGGTGGTTGATCAACAGAGAGGCTGGCTCAGTAGGTGAGCTATAAAGGGTCTTAGACCTGTGATATCACATTCTTTTTCATGGAGCAGTGTGGGCTAGGTTTGTCAAAAATATAAATACAGAATATGTATATAAATGATTGCCAGGGCTAAGTCCTTGCTGCAGCGACCATTGGTTTGGGTCTAGCCTGTTGTTGCGTGTCATCGCTTATCTCTCTCCCCCTTCCTTTCTATCTTGAGCTGTTCTTTCAGTTAACGCAGGTGTAGTTGTATATTGCAACCCCCATGCTTCATCTTCCCCTCCCAAGCACGAAGGATAAACTATGGTGGCTGCCAAACTTGTGAAAACTGTAGAAACATGGCAATTTCCATGGAAGGTAACCCGCTCCCTCTGTAGATATAAATGGCTCATTCTAAGATAACAAAAACAAAACTACTCGTATTTTCAGGTGACTATACACTAATGAAAACATACATATGAATATTATATTCCATTTCCGACATTAGAAACTACTAATTATACATTTGATAGTATTAAAAGTACCGAAGTTATCAAAAATCCGTTCCAATCACACATCAAGCTTGTAGATCTCTACACTGTTTATTACAGTCTGTAGTATAATCCTGCTGATGAGGCAGTGGCATTTTTCTCCATTATCACTTTGTTTCCCCAGATACAGTAACAACAGAGCTTTTGTGCTGCATGTTTCCTGGATTTAGGAGTTTAACTTCTACATGGTAAGAGGCCAAGTTTCAGGCACACGTAAAATGATTGGTTTCATGGTAATTTTTTTTTTTTAATTTTGTCAGATACCTAATTTTAAAAGAGACCACATGCAAACAGGGCTGAGCACTCTCTGTTTGAGAAAGCTTTATAACGGATGTTTTTGTTGTGTCATGTGCTTTGTGTTTGCTGTTCTGGCAGTGACACTGCAAACCAATTTTCCATGGGAACATGAACACATGTCATCATATTGAAACAGCTACAACAATATTACATGTGCTGCTGCTTGCTCTGCATGATCAACATGATCTTGTTTTAAAGCAGCTGTATTTGGGTATTTTGGCAGGGTGCCATTGTGGAAGCTAAATCCAGGATAAAGGGGGCAGAGTTTCATCTGAAACATTCCTCTGCTCAGAAAAAGGAATGTAGGAGTAGTTTTTGGAAGGGTAATATGATGAATGGATTGAAAGTGAAAAAACAGATGTATAAAAAGCAGGCAGGAAGGGTACAGTAATGTATGGAAGAAGAGAATGAGTGAGTGCCTTATCACCTCTGAATTTACTATCTAGAGAGGTCAGTGGCCAACTGGTCTCATCCCTCAATGACAGAAGTTTGATTTAATTTGAATTTTTATAAGGAATTAATAAAAATAAGTGAAACACACTTTATATTAACATTTCAACTGTAATTTGGAAACACACAAAGTATACACTTACTGTGAAGCTATACTAGATCTATGTTATATATTTGAGTTGTGAACTTACATTATCCCAAATGTTTTCAACAGTGTTTAAACTAATTTTATTCAGATACTATTTATCTGTTTTGTTGAACTTGTTCCGTATTTTTATGCTCAGTCTGTGTTTGTACAAACCTGGCAAATAAAGTGATTCTAATTCTATTCTAATATTTATAGGAATGTTTTCATTAGTGTATAATCACCTGAAAGTAAGAATTGTTGTCCTTCGTTAGCTTATAATCAGCCGTTTTTATCTACAGAGTGAGAGCGGGTCTTGTTCCTCGGAGGCCACCATGCTGAACTGCCATGAATTTACAGCAACCCAGAACGGACAAAGCAAACACTGGTTGTAGATGCTGCATTCTAGCATATAATCACGTATGTGTGTGCGTGCAATACACAAAACGGGACCTACTCATAGAAAACGGCTCCATTACACTACTAGAGGTCAGAAACACCACAGGGAATGTTTGAAAGAAAACTGTTATAGGTTAAAAAAAAGCTTCTAAACACAGGTCCTCCACTTCACAAGTCCCGTGCAGTGAGGAGAATGAGGACTTCTGGTCCCTCTCAAACAGCTCTTTGAATAATTCGTTTTTATACCTCAAAGAACGGTGTTTGGATCCTTTCCACAACACAAGCCAACAGAGCATTAAGATGTGACAGCATACCGACAGCCACAGCCAGACACTCAGTCAGTCTGGAGACAACAGAGGCTCCCTGCTGGCCCGAAGCCTGCTGTTTACCTGAGCTCGCCTGATGGCTTCCGTCCAAGCCAGGCCCTATGTAACTCAATCTGAGGACCACATAAATGCAGAGCCGAGCCGCACCCAAACAAAGCACGAACCTCCAAATGCCGAGATAATACCTGGGGTGTAATGCGGCTTGTGCTGTTGTGTGGGAATACACACTGGATCTGTAATTAAACCGTGTTTACTCAGTATAATTACAGATTAACAGAGATCACCTGGATCTTGTGTTTGAAGTGTGAATGGTTACCTACATGCTGACATCCTGCTCTCTCATTCCCCTCCATGCAGTTCAGGTTGGATGTAATGTTCAGGATGTCGTGGTGTGTTGAGAGCTTTTAACCTAATCCTGCCAGCGAATATTATCCTAATATCTCCTGGCTACTGTAAGAAGGAATTTCCCACTGTTTACTGCCCTTATGTCATCTCACCTTCCATGGTTAAGTACAGAGCATCGCTGCATTCCAACAGGTGCGTTTTCCATTAGCACAGGTTGTCAGTTCCAAAATTATATTTCATCACCTAATTCAGGCTGCATCTATCCATGCATATAGTTTTAGTTTCATTAGCCCTGTCAGGGTTTCCCTCTGGAAACTGTTTAGCCAAGGTGGTAAGCCACCCAGATCCTTATACATCTCATCTCATTTTGCCTAGAGATGCAGTAACACAGGGTTCCCACACATCCTGGAAAACCTGAGACTAGTTTTCCAGTCATGGAAACACCTGGAAATTGATTAAAATAACCAAATATCCTGGAAATAATTGATGTTATCCTCGACGTCCTGGAAATTGTATTTTAGCCCTTCCACTCAGATCTACGCCTTAGATATCCTTCGTATTTAGTTGATAGGAGAACCTGTATGGTATGACATTAAAACCAGGTTTACCACGTGGAAATAACTTGCAGCAATCTTTTTGGCACTGTGTATTTTTTTTCCCCGAAAAACAAGTCCTGGAAAGGCCCTGGGAAATAATTTCTTACAGAGTGGGAACCCTGAAACAGTAGTCACATTTGTGGAATGTAAGGCATTTGCTGTGTGCTGTGGTTAATGTTTTGTATCAATTGTTTTATGATTTTAGCAGAGGTGTTCAGTAGAAACTACTGCAGGCCACCCAGAGTAAGAGCTGGGTAAGATTCTAAAAGAAACAGACACACATCTATATCAGTTGTTAAAAAGGACCTTCCTCGTTATATAAAATAAATAGAAAACATGACAAATTGGCATGACAAATTCAGCTGTAATACTACATTGGAGTATATAAATTTTTTAGGCTGACCCCTGCATTACAGACAAACACTGTGTAGGAACTCAATGTTTTTTTATTTGTTTATCTCTCACCCTTTAACTTATTTAAGATTTTATTTTATTTCCAAGGCAAATTATAGGACTGTTCTTAAGACCATTTATTACAGATTTATACATCGTGGCCCTGGTTTGGAGATATGTCTTTAAGATTTCTGCATCCACCTGAATATAGCGCTCAGTGTTGTAAAATGATATTCTATGTATTTTGGATAATCCACAGACATTGCTGTTTTTTATAGGAACTATTTCTTACGTAGAAAATCCATTTAGCTGTTACCATTTTTAATTAAATCCTAAGCCTTGGGTATCAGCAATAAAAAGTAACTTTTTTGCTTCAGGGCCCGCCCACAGGTCCTTGTATCCTCTGCTCAGCTTACATGAACATCTGTGCACATTGCGCACTGTTCTCTTAAACCATGGATTAAGGACTTGTTTGTTTTTGGATTGTACTCTGTAGCAGATTGTCTCCAGCTATGAGCACTGTAACTTCCGCTGCAGCCGTATCTGTCTCACTGCACTGTGATTCTGTGTGGGACAGCAGTGATGGGCTTCTTTCCTCCACTTTGTCTGCTTCTGTGGGTCGGTTGTGTGCTTACGTTGTGTCTCTTGTTCACTTGGCTGAGTTGTGTGTCTTTTGTGTCCACAGTATGGCAGAAGCCCCCTGCACTTGGCTGCCTACAAAGGCCACATCGAGGTTGTGCATATCCTGCTCAAAGCTGGCTGCGACCTGGACATCCAAGACGACGTGAGTAAATCCATCTGTGTGTCGGCCATTTTTCAACTTCCAGCTCTCGCGCTGCAGTCCTGATTGGCGGTACCAGTGGATTTTTCTCAATTCTGTTTTATTGGAATGATTTTTTAAGACCCACAACATTAAACTTTTTTTTCTTTTCTTTTTTTTGTAAACACAAAGATAACTAGTCTAATGACATCCAGTGGCCTTGAATGGGACTCGTTGGACTGTCCACTTGTGGGTTTTCCCTCAGGATGCAAGTCCCCCTTTCCCACAGATAGTGATAACACAGACCTCTGGCATTGCCAAATTCATTCTCTGTGGTCAATGAGCTCCGCAACAGGCAGCAACACATCCTCCAGGACTGGAGGGAGCGGGAGGTGCAGACTGAAGCAGGAGGAGGAGGATGAGGAGGAGAAGGAGGGGAGAAGACAGTGGAGAAGGGCTGGGAAAGAGCTTGGAGGATCAGGGAGAGTGAAGGAGGTTAGCCAAACCTGCTCCTACTGAGTCAGGAAATCTGTCCCCCCCATCCTTCCTTCCCTGAAGGCCACCATTGCTGCTGCTGCTGCTGCTGCTGCTGTGCTCAGCTCAGTACTTATCTAGCTTGGAATCACACTCTCTCCTCCCCTTCTCCTTTCTCTTTCTCCTCCATCCCTTCCGCTAATCATTGCTCTTTGTTCCTGTGCTCTTGGACCTGCTAAGTGTCACTAACCAATCATCTGTTCAGTCTGCAGCAGTTCCATTTATGGCATTAATGTTAACTGAACCTTTTTCATGTGACTGTGCTCTCACTGCTTTCATATGGTTATACACACCACTGTGGTCTCTAAACAGCTATTTAAATGTACCTGCTGTGTATTGCTATATTGGGACCACATTTACAACATTACTGCTTAAGTCAGTAATAACTCTGCTAAGCTTGGGATACATGGTGTGCTTCTGAAACAACGGAGCTTACAAAATGGTCAACATTTAAAGGGATAGTTTGCTTTTTGGGAATTTTGTACTACTTTGAATATATGTTAAATTGTATTTTGTAAAGATACTGATATCTATGGGATGAAGTAGCTTCCCTACTAAGTGTTACAAAACATTTTTCATATTTTCTACCTTATTAACAATTTTTTGTGGTCTTATGGTTTGGATCTACTGTCCATCATGATGCTAATAATTAATAAATAAAAATGTATTAATAAATGTTTAAAGCTGCATTTATTTGAGCAACGTTGGTTCCCTGAACATGTGAGATTAGAAGATCAGGCCTCAGGTTTGTTTAATACAGATATGGACTCATGACCTTGTTAGCTTATCTTAGCATAAAGACTGGAAGCAGGGGGACAGAGTTAGCCTGGCTCTCTCAAAAGTTTACCTACCGGCACCTCTAAAGCTCATTTGTGTACTCCGTACACAAACAGAAATGTTTAAATTACTTTATGGTTTTAGGGGGAGTTAGGGTTAGGGGTGGGGTGGTCGTCCCCCAATCGGAAGCTTG